TAAAATTAATTTAGGGTTTTCTGTCTCGCGGCCAGACAGAGCCATGGGATGCAGCACTCAGAATTTGTGAGTCTCCCTTTATCTAGGGAACACAAAGTGCTTTTATAACATGGATGAAAATGCTCGTGTCAATAGAGGGCAAAGAGAACAGTGTGTGGAGGGGATTACTTGATGTTGGGTGTCCAAGTTCATGTTAAACAACTCTATTTTCCATTTTTAAAAGCAAGTGTCTCCAGGAGACAACCTTTATACAAACCTACTCCCTTCTGTAGCGGCTTTAATTAATTAATTAATTAATTAGATTGTGTCTTTGATCTCCAGTTAGGCGAATGAATGAATGAAAGCATTTATTAAGCACTTAATATGTACTGAGCACTGTGCTATAGTGCTGGGGGTTTGAATATTAAAAATAAATATAGTCCCTGCCCTCAAGATGCTTATATTCTAATGGCAGAGACAGTACCCAAAGGCAATGCTGGCTAGGAAATGATATTTTGGCTTGGAAAGTTCTAGAGGTGGTTACTGGAGCCATAGAGGAATAGAATGACACTCTATCCCATAGCAATGGTAGTATTGACTAGATTGTGTTTTCAGAGCTAGAAATGGGTATCAGGATGGGACAAGGGCACCCAATTAGCAGCAAGGTGTCTAGAGAGAAGATGGCTGGGAAGTGAAAGGAAAAAATGTGACTGGGGCTTCCTTAGCCTCCTGGTTGTGGTGAACTGCATGAGACACTCACCAGTCAGCTCAGGGTGGGAGTTCCCAATCACCAGGGCATGGTCCCTATTCCGAGTAACAGTACCACTGGTAAGGAGCTAGCAGTCATAAAATGAAGTGTGCCTGGAGCTGGTCTAGGGGACAGGTCACCAGAGGCACTCACCAATCAGAATAGCAGGGCTCTAATTCAAAGGTCTGGAGCTGGAAGAATTAAGTCTTCTAGGGAAGGGGTGTCAAACACCCAGTCCACCCCTGCATTCCTGCCTTCAACGCTTCAGAGTGCAGCTGAGCCAGACTAAAATGTAATTGGGAATATTTAACAAAATAAATGAAAAGCCAGAGGATGTAGATAATATTAATACGTGGTTTTCTTGGTCAACATGCTGCCTACAGGAATCCTTACTTATGGTTTAGTCAAGTAGCTCCCTTCTATTTAGGTTTGAAAATGACAAGCAAAGTGAAGACGCACATGACTTCAGCAGTGTGTTTGGTGTTTAGAACTCCTAAATAACTAATACATTGGATGACAGAATCAGAATGCAGAAAGATCTCAATGGCCCAGAACAACCAAATGAAGAGGAGAGAAATGTGTTAGAAATAAACGTAAAGACAAACTTTGGCTCTAAAGATCAATGTCAAAAATACAGAATGGGAGTGTGGTGAGATAGCTGTCAGTCTGAAAAGGATTTGTTTTTTGTTTTGTTTGATTTTAGCAGAAGGTCAATGTGATGGGGCAGCTAGGTGGCACAGTGGATAGCACCAGGCCTGGAGTCAGGAAGACTCATCCTCATGAGTTCAAGTCTGGCTTCAGACACTTAATAGTATGTTACTTGCCCAAGTCATTTAATCCTGTTCGCCTCAGTTTCTTCGTCTGTAAAATGAGCTGGAGAAGAAAATGACAAGCCACTCTAGTATCTTTGCCAAGAACATTCCAGATGCAGTCATGAAGAGTCAGACACGACTGAAACACAGCCAAGGTCAGTGTAAGTCAACGGTGTTAAATGGTGGCCAAAAAAGACACTGTGCTCTTAAACTACATTAAGGGAAGCACCATGTTCACGAGTAGGAAGGTGATGGTCCCACTCTTCTGCGCCCAGGTCAGACTAAATCTCAAGTACGGTGTTCAGTTCTGGGAGCCACATTTTAGACGGGAGGTTGGTGGCTGAGTTGGGGAGCTCTACAGGAGAGGAGTCAAGAGGATGATGGGTCCAAGAAACTGGAGCTGGGGGGTGGGCAGGTGGGGAGAAGTGATGGCTGCCATCTTGTATTTGAAAGGCTGATCCACAGAGCAGCATTAGCCTTGCTTCCTTTGACCCCAGAGGGCAGAGCTAGGAGTAATGGTTAGAAATTGAAAAGAATCAGATTAAAGGCTTGAAAAAAGCTGTCCTAATGAGTAGGGCTATCCCGAGGTGAAATGGGCTGGCTCTGGACTGGTGAGTTCCCCCTCCCAGGGGATCTTCAATCAAAGGCTGGATGACCATATGTTGGAGCAGGAATTCCTTTCACGTCCTCATTGAGCTTAGATAGTCACTGAGGTCCATTTCAGCTCCATGGCTGAGGGATTTTCTATAAGAATGATCCTGTTCTTACAGGATCCTGTTCGCCCTCAAGAATGGCATCAAAAGAAACCACAACCCCTTGATTGGGGACTCTTCATCTGGGGTCCGCAGAGTCACAAGGATCTGTTGCTAGATTTCAGGGGGTCCGTAACTTTGAATGGGAAAATAAAAATTATATCTTTATTTCAATATAATTGATTTCCTTTGCACTTAAAAACATGATTTTGAGAAAGGGTCCATAGGTTTTACCAGTCTTCTAAAGGTGTCTACAACACACAAGAGTTAAGAACTCTTGCTTTAGATTTATTATGGGAAAATTATTTCTCACTGAGTTCATGTGCAGCCAAATAATGCTGTCTCAACACAGAAACTCTAGAAGTTAAAATCTAGGTTTTCTTATGCTTAAGCACAGGTTAGGGACTCAGAAAGATAATCCTGAACCAAGATTGGGGTTTGGATCAATTTTTTTTTTTTTCTTTTCACTTTTTAGTGATGTAGTCAGGGTTAAGTGACTTGCCCAGGGTCACACAGCTAGTAAGTGTCAAGTGTCTGAGGCCAGATTTGAGCTCAGGTTCTCCTGACTCCAAGGCCGGAGCTCCATCCACTGTACCACCTAGCTGCCCCTGGACCAAGCTTTTTATAGAGAAATATTACATCAGAGACAGGTAAGTAATCTTTTTTTCAACATATAACCCTCATGCTTCTCTAATGTCATTAAATTTAGCCCAAGGCTCAGAGCCAGGGGGAGACTTTCACAAAAATAGAGCCAGTTAAATGACTTGAAGTTCCCTTTTGGCTTCTTATCTCAGGAACATCAAAAATCTTCCCTTACTATTATCATTCCACTTGTCAAGAGCCAAGTTTTAGCCAGGTAAGGTTAATATTAACAGGAGGCAGCCTTAGGTCAGTCAAATATCCAAAAGAAATGGCCCTGTGCCCCAGATTAATAAAAATTCTCAAAATAGATTCGAGGGTAATTGACAGAGCAGTGGTTTTCTTTTCTTTTTTTTTTTTTTGTTGTAAGGCAATTGGGGTTAAGTGACTTGCCCAAGGTCACACAGCTAGTATGTGTCAAGTGTTTGGTCTGAGGCCGGATTTGAACTCAGGTCTTCCTGACTTCCTAGGGGCAGCTAGGTGGCTCAGTGGATAGAGTGCCAGTCCTGTCATCAGAAAGACTCATCCTGTTGAGTTCAAGTCTGACCTCAGACACTTATGAGCTCTGTGACCCTGAGCAAGTCACTTACCCGTTTGCCTCAGTTCCCCATCTGTAAAATGAGCTGGAGAAGGAAATGTCAAGCTGCTTTAGTATCTTTGCTAAGAAAACCCCAAATGGGGTCAGGAAGAATGGAACACAACTGAAACAACTGAACAACAACTTTCTGACTTCAGGGCTCTCTCCAGAGCCCCACCTAACTGCCTCAGGGTGGCCAAGGAATGGGAACTTTGGATTTTGATTGAAACTGATTTCCCCTTCACAGCCAATTAACTTAGGGACAGTTTCTATGTGGATGTTTTCCTTTTTATTTTTAATAGGATTTTATTTTCCCCCCAATTATATATCAAGACAATTTTTAGCATTCTTTTTTAACAAGATTTTGAGTTCTAAATTTTTCTCCCTCCCTCCTCTTCCCTCTTCCTAAAACGATAGGCAATTTGATATAGGTTATATATGTGCAATTATGTGAAACACATTTCCATGTTAGTCACAGTTGTGAAAGGAGACATAGATCAACAGGGAAAAAAACATAAAAAAATAAAATAAATGAAAAAAGTATGCTTCGATCTGCATTCAGAGTCCCTCAGTTCTTGATCTGGATGTGGACGGCATTTTCCATCGGGAGTCCTTTGTACTTGGCTTGGACCATTGTGTTGCTGAGAAGAGCTGAGTCATTCATAGCTGATCATCACACAGTGTTGCTGATACTGTGTACAATGTTTTCCTGGTTCTACTCTTTTCACTTTGTATCAGTTCATACAAATCTTTCCAGGTTTTCCTGAAATCTTCCTGCTCATCATTTCTTATTGCCGGTCCATTCCATTCCATTGTAAATTGTCCATTGTAAATTGGACAATTGTAATCCCCACATAGGCCTTCAAAGAAGTGAAAGTGAGGAGGGAGTTTTTCAGGCACCAGGGAACCCAAAATGAGATCAAGACTTCATAACAGCACACAGTCAACAAAACTGAGAGTGGAGACTACGAAGTCCTCATAGATTAGACTGAAGGGGGGTCCAGGAGTGTGGGGTGGGACTCGGGGGACAGGGAAGTATTGGAAGATAGGCAGGGTTGGTAAAAAGTGCCTTCTGCCGTATAAAAGTGTTTACCTAGAGATAGAACAAATAAGAAGATTGCCAAAAGCCAGAGGATCCTAATTGTCATGGCAATTTGAATCTGCCTTGTCTAGAAATCCTTGGGCTTGATCTGTTGCCATCTAACCTCAGACAAGCTGAATCTGGGAACAAGGTATAAAAGAGGAGTTTGATCATGCAGGGACTAATTCCTTGCACATTTTTATGGAAGGCTGGGTCAGCCTTTTTATTTTTGCCCTTCGTGAGGTTTCATTTAATTATTTAAAACCCTGGCATTTTTTTTTTTTTTTGGCGTGATAAGCCATATAAGTCCATTTATTAGAAGAAAGACGAAGAAGGTAGAGGAAGAGGAGGAGAAAGAAGAAAGGACAAAGAGGAAAGGGAAAAATAAGGAAGAAAAGAAAGAGGAGGAAGAATGAATAAGAGGAAAAGGAAAAAAAGAAGGAAGAAGAACAGAGGGTAGAGAAAAGTAGTTGTGAGTTGTGTACTATTTTCAGAGCCATCAGGGCAAGGGAAAAGTGAAACTTTACATTCCCTTTTGGCCAGGGACTTGATAAGGACATGAAAAGGGCAGTAAGAAACTGGTAGACAGCACGGAGGACCCACCAAGTGGCGATGGGGATGTGTTTAGCCACAGGTGCCTTCAGTTTATAACGCAGGAACACAAGCTTGAGAGTCAGGTCACCTCAGAGCTCTGTACAGAACTTCAGTGTGGTTCTGGCCATTTCCTTCTCATACATCGCATCAAATATTTCATTCTGGGCCACCGTGAAGTAATTCTTCCAGTCACCAACAATCCCTGAAAAACAGAAAAGATAGGGAATGAAACTTCCAAACCATTTGTTTGTGAGATAGGAAAGGAATGGGTTATGAACTAACATAGGGTTTATATAGTGCTTTGATATATTACTTTATTTGATCCTCACAACAACCCTGTGAGGTAGGTGCTATTGTTATCTCCACTTTATAAATGGGGAAACTGAGGCAGGCAAAGTGCTTTGCTCAGGGACACAGAAGTAGGATGTATCTGAATCCAGTTTTGGACACAGGTCTTCCTGACTCCAGGTCCAATACTCTCCCCTGAGCCATCTAGCAGCCTCTTATGAGAGTTCTTGAGTTTTATCTCAAAAGGTCAAGATGGGCCAGCTGGAGGCTCTGATTTGAGGCATGAGCTTGTTAAGAAGCATGAGAAAATGCTTAGAGAACAAGACGTAGGAAGAGGTGTTAGAAGAAAAAGCAGGAGAGTGAGCCCAGCCCAAGAGAGGCACAAGAAAACCCACAAGGCTTGCCACTGAAGTAGCCACTGGTCAGTTTCTTTGCTGGGAATTTGGAAGAGAGGTTCTGCTTTGCTGATTGGCTGGAGAAGGCCAGCTGCTGGAAGCTCATTGGAAGAGAGCTGAATGCTGCAGCTAAGTGGAGAGCTATCAGTAGTCTTCTACCAACATCTACAGGATGAGATGGGGAAGCCCATTCTGCCTTCTGCTCTCTTCCCTTGAATATAATGTTTTCATGAGATCCTACATAGGACTTTTAATAGAATTTTTTTTTTTTTTTGTGAGACCCTAGATATGACTTTAAATACAAGTTTGTTTTTTTTCCCATGAGATCCTACACATGACTTTTGATGATTTTTTTCATGAGATCCTATAAATTTTGGCTTTTGATTGAGTTTTTTCATGAGATTCTACATATAGCTTTTGATAGAGATTTTTTTTGGTTAGATACTACATGTGGCTTTCGATAGAGATTTTTTTTTGTTAGATACTACATGTGGCTTTTGATAGAGATTTTTTTAGATCCTATGTGTGGCTTTTGATAGAGATTTTTTTCATGAGATCCTTGTGATGGAGGGGATATAAGGTACAATTAGGTGAGTTCAGATTGTTTGACTGCCTCAATCCAAAGAGTGGTGATTATTAAACTGATATCAAACAGGAGAAGGGTGTCTGGTTGAGTTTTTTCTATACAGTACCCTTTTCTGTTTGAAATCTTTATTAATTTCTTGAATGAAGGCCTATATGGCTTGCTCATCAAACTTGTCTGACACAGCCGAAAAGGAGAGCTAATCCATCAGATGGAAGGATTTGGATCCACGAAGGTCCAGAATGGTGGACTGAAACTAAAGAGATGGAATTTAATAGGGCTAAAGGTAATGTTTTGCACAAATATTTAAGAAGTTATATGCCCATGGATGGGATCATGAAAGCAATTTGTGTGAAAAAGAAAAAAAAACCCAAACCCAAACTGGAGGATCTTTATGAGGTGTGGGTTCAGAGGCAACATTGTGATATGGCAGCCCTGCCCTCCCTGCCTTCCCCACCCAAGCAACAATATTAGGCTGAATCAGCAGAAACATGGTGACTCCTTCTGTCCTCTGCCCTACTCAGACCACTTCTGGAGGATTGTGGTTAGTCCTGGGTACCCCACTTCGGAAAGGATACTCACAAATTGGAGAGTTTGTCCAGGGGAGAGTGACCAGGATGGTGATGGTATTTGAAATCTGTGGCAAGACACCTAACTTCTATCTGCCTCAATTTCCTCATCTATAAAATGGGGATAATAGTATCTACCTCCTAGGGTTGTTGGGTAGAACAAATGAAATAATATTTATAAAGCACTTAGCACAGTGCCTGGCATGTGATATGTAGTGGCACTATATACATGCTAGCCTCTATAATTATGATGATGATGATGATGATAATGATATTATATAATTTCTTCCCACCACACCAAACAATGAGAGCACAGAAATGGTTATTGAAATCTCCGGAAAATTGTTACCCTTCCGCATGTGAGAAGAGACATCATGATCCATCATTTTACTCGATATATTTGTGAAGTTCAACAAGGGGTTATTTTTCATCATTTCGAATGAGGTATGATGGATGATCTTCCTCAAGACCTCTTCATCTAGGTTCTTCCCCAGGAAATGCATCACCTTCTCGATTTCCTTCTTGGGGTTCTGCCAATGGGTAGAGAGATATTTCAAAAAAGCTAGTATGCCAAGTAGTTCAGTGAATTTGTTTTTTCTGGAATATGTCAGGGAGAGATGATGGAAGAGGGGGCTGGAGGTCAAAGAATGCATCGGATCCCTAGGCATCCTTCCCCTCCCCCTTCCCCACTCCCTCCAAGGCTTTTGTGGGGTTGCCTTTGCCAGCTGGTGGAAGTTGGAGCTGATGGGATGCTGCTTACTGCCCCTACCTTACCTCCTGCCAGGTATGGAGAATAGACCCAAGTGTGTCCCCTGGTTGCATTACAAAATGACTGCTGTTTTTTTATATGGTTTACCTTTAATTGGGTTCTCTTCCTCCCTCCATTTCATTATAATTAGAATAATAATAGCTAGCATTATACAGCACCTAAAGATTTCCAAAGAGCTTTACAGATATTATCTTAATTGATGTTCAATCCTGAGGAAGTAGGTGCATTATTATCTTCATTTTATAGATGTGAAAACCAGTATAGGTTTCTTTTTTTTTTTTTAAATTAAGTCAATTAATTTATTTTTAGTTTTCAACATTCATTTCCACAAGATTTTGAGTTCCAAATTTTCTCCCCATCTCTCCCCTCCCCCCACCCCAAGCCAGTCTACATTCTGAATACTCCTTCCCCTAATCTGCCCTTCCTTCTTTCACCCCGGCCCGCCCCCACCCTTCTCTTATCTCCTTCCTCTTCTATTTTCCTGTAGGGCAGGATAGATTTTTATACCCCATTGTCTGTATATCTTATTTCCCAGTTACATATGAAAATAATTTTAAACATTCTTTTTAAAACTCTCCCTCCCTCCCTCCCCACCTATCCTCATTGAGATGGCAAACAACTCAATACAGGTTATACATGTGTACTCATGCAAAACACTTCCGTAGTAGTCATGCTGTGGAAAACTAACTATATTTCCCTTCATCCTATCCTGTTCTTTGTTTATTCTATTCTCTCTTTTGACCCTGTCTCTCCTCAGAAGTGTTTGCTTCTGATTACCCCCTCCCCCAATCTGCCCTCCCTTCTATAAATCACTAGATCCATGGCTTACAATAAATTCATTTTTTCAAGATCAATAAAAACAAAAACCCAAACCATCAAGGAAAACTGTATATATTTAGTTTCCTTGTTATACGAGGTATGACTGTAAAGTGACATGACAAACAGATTTTTTTTTGGGGGGGGCCAGATACAAATGAAAGATCAATCTTTTTAACCTCATACCTCATATAGTACATCTTCTGGAAGACAGTTTCAAATTGGTAGGTCACTCTGCTAGCTGAGAGTGGAGCATAGCAATTCCTCATTCAAAAGACTGTCATTCCACAACTGGATGTCTCATTGGGTGCAAGAAAGAAGTCTGTTAAGTACCAAGGTATCACTCCTTAGGTCTGTAATTGCAGTAAGGCTGTATGTATGGCCCCCATTTGAGAGCAGTACTATGGAGAACTGTTTATTCCTTTGAATGATTGTTTTCTATGTGCAAAACTATCTGGTAACTTACTATCTTTTAATAGAATTAAAATTCCTTGGCATGATTAACACTCATTGTAGGAACTTGTATCCAGAATTCATTATTCCCTTTTCGCTGGAGTTGGACTTCCGTCTTTGTCTGGAAACGTCCTCTAGGACTAGAACTTTTCAGGATTCCTCACAAAGAATTTTAGCCGTTCTTACTATAAAAATACTAATTGATCCAACAAAAATGATCAAGAGAAAATATTGCCAAATAAACACAGCCACCTCTGTAGAGGAAAATAAGGCATCTGCTTTTAAAGCACTGGTTTGTATTTCATCTTGCCTGTTAGTTATTGGTAAAAAGACACTATTATGACATGACACAAAATGAGTGGAAAACATCTCATCGAGCAAACAAGTAGTAGAAAAAGACAACATGGAGTGGTGTCCCTGTAGTTCTTGAATTGTGGAAATCTATAGCATCTTTTTCTGAAGAAAAAAAATTCATCTCATCCATTAAGGTAAGAAAAGCAGAACTTAAGAATGTGACTAGAAAACCAGGAGCCTCGTGGATGTCAACGTGCATGAGTTTATGTCCTCTGTGTGGGCTGCATGGTGGAGAGAGGATTTGGAAGCACTGCCGCTGATTTTCATTTAAGAGTGTTGTAGTAACTCAAAGGAAGACGATATCTGTGGAAAAAGAGCTGTTTCTTCCCTAACTTTCTTCACGCAGTCTACTACAAGCCTCTTCGTGGCATTGGGGCAATTCTTGTATAGCTTACTGAGATCTGGAGATACGTACCCTCAACCAAACATAAATAGAATCTGATCTTGGTTGTTGATGTGTGAATATGGTAGCTCCCCTGTCATCAGTTCATACAGCACCATGCTATCTGATTGAAAGCTGAATGGATTATCGTCCTGCATGCAGATAACTTCCGCAACCATCCAGAGAATGGAACCTGTTGGCTGTTCCACTTGCTGAGAACCACTCCATCTAGATCTTACTGTTGCCAAACCAAAGTCTCCTATTTTCACTGTCAGACCTTCATGAAGAAATCCATTATTTGATTTCACAACTCTGTGAATGATGCTCTTTGCCCGTAAATAATCCATGGCATGTCTGCCAGGCAATGTCAGTAAGCTGGAACATCTGAAATTTGGTGTCCCGGACATGGAGATGCTTATGAAGACTGCTCCCCTCACACCACTGCGTCACAATTGCAGATTATCTTTAGTCATACAGCCCATGAACAACAGAATGTTAACATGCCTGGTTTTTTCCCCGAAGAGCTTTGAGTTCACCAGAGGTAAGGGGAAGTATTCATTTCTGTTCTTGCTGAACTGTGCAGATCACAGTGAGGTGGGGTGGAGTCCAGCATAGGTTTCTGAGACTGGATTTGAACTCAGGTCGTTCTGACTCCAGGTTCAGCACTCTTTCCACTGCTCTTCCTAGCTCCTTGAGAGTAGGGATTGCTTCATTCTTTGTATCTGGGTCCCCAGCACCCAACATTGTGGTTGGCCCATAGTAGACACATTAAAAAGCTTGTTTGGATGATTATAATGTATGTTCAATTTTAATTATTTTTAAAAAGTTAAGCGTTCACTAGATGCACATCGGGTGTGATGAAGGTTGGCCAAAGGTAACGATTCAGGAAGAAGTTTTGATTCCTTAGAGGCAAAAGGGCTAAGGATTATTCTTTGTTTCTGAGATATAGGGGTGGGTTTGGAAGAGGGGAACAGTGGACACTGAACTCATTGGACCTCCCACAATCAAGAGAGAGTATTGAAATCAACCCCCTAGGCAAATGCAATAAACCTATGAGGCAAACATAAACCTAGGCAGAGTCAGTGTCCAGTGGATTGGTGCTGGGGAATCTGGGAGGGGTCTCACTTGAGAATTTCTTCCTTGTCCTTCATTCCCACTGTCCTGTTTATTCCCATTACAATCTTGAGCTCTGTTCCACTTACAATTAAAAGGGGGGCTGCTCCCCTACAAATTATTGAGGGTTGTTACTACTTCCCACTACATGTCCCCTACAATGAAAAATTCAGTGTTTTCGTATTATGTTCTCCAAGGTAGTCTTCCTTCTTTTCCTTTTCTCTAACACAGCCAGAAAGACATCGGTGTTGAGGAGCCAAGACAAGGGAAAAATACAGTCCCTGATTTTCAGAGCTCCATTAAATGTTGAATGAGATTGGACTTGGGAGAGAGGACGTGGTCCTTTTTAACTTCACTCACATTTGTTTCCCTATTAATGTTAACTTTTTTATTATTATGAATTTGAGAAGCATCAACAAACACAAACATTTCTCTATTAAAAAAAACGGAAAATAGATGAAAGCATGAGTCTCTATGACGCATATCATGATTGAACAGCTTGGATTTTTTGGTTTATTTCCAATTTAACACTGTCCTGCTTGTCTGTGTCCCCTTCCGAACTTTCTTCTGCTCTCCTCTGAATATTTTAATGGCTTGGTTTTTCTTTTTCTTTCTTTATTTTAGGAATAAATAATCACTACATAGACTGAGTCATGGGTATAACTGGATTTTTTAAGGACATGAAGCTAGTCTAGTAAGATTTGTTTTTAATGATCTTGCATTAGAATATTTTATTATAAATTTTCTCTAACAAATATTTCAATATAGAAAAAGGTATCACTATCACCATTTTCCTATTCTCCTTCCTTTCCCCTATCCAAACCCTTGTAACAAATTTTTGTTGAAGTCGTTTCAGTTGTGTCTGACTCTTTATGACCCCATTTTGGGGTTTTCTTGGTAAAGATACTGGAATGGTTTGCCATCTCCAGCTCATTTTACAGATGAGGAAACTGAGGCAAACTGAGGGTTAAGTGCCTTGCCCAGGGTCACATAGCTAATAAGTATCTGAGGCTGGGTTTGAACTCAAGATGAATTTTCCTAGTGCTCTATCTATTGTGCCACCTAGCTGTCAAATCCTCACGTAGGCCCTGAAAATGTTTTATATTGCCCCTTTAGTCTAGCACTTCTCTGCCCAGATATGTTTATTAATTGTATATTTCTCTGCATAGTAGCCTCTTCTTCCCCCCCCCTTCTGTACAAAGAAGAAGGAAGTGGAGAAACAGAAGGAATATGATCAGCCCTAGTTATTTATAATTGAAATGGTCTGTTCCTAGCCCTCTGACCTTCCTCTCCTCACTAAGTCCAAATCTAAATAAATACTTGACTCTATTGTCAGGGCAAGGGCTTTGAATTTGTTCTTTTTCAAGGACAGAGGCTGGGTAGACATTCTGGGAAGCAGAGACAACCCTCTGAGACTGAACTCAGGTGTTTGTCTGGGAACTTGATCTTGTTACGTTTGTAACAGACCAAGGGGAAGGACTGCAGAAAATCTGATCTCGGGCAGAATGTGAGGCAGAAAATTGAATCCGTTCATTTTTTTCCCACTTGAGTCCTGAATTTTCCCTTTGTCATTCTGCCCACCAGGCATGTAAAAAAGGAAAGGGTTGGACTGTTCTCCACCTGGCACAGAAGCTGCTCGCTGGTTATAGATGAGGAATGATTCAGATTGTTTATACTTCCCTGGCAGTCATAACTGCCCCACCCTCTGAGATCAAACAGGGTACAAAAGGCTCCCTATTGACCATCTTCTATAGACTGAATCTGGAGGAGCATAATGAAGAGTTGAAACTATTTTAATATATGGCCAGGGCGCTTATGGCCACTGCAGTACTCATGATGGGCACAGAGAGGAATATGAATTTATATAGCACCTACCATGTACCAGGCACTGTCCTAAGCACTGTACAAATGTTACCCCATTTGATCCTGGGAGGTAGGTGCTATTATTATTCTCATTTTACAGTTGAGGAAACTGAGGCAAACAAGTTAAGTGACCTGCCCAGGGTCACATAGCTAGTAAGTGTCTGAGGATAGATTTGAACTTAGAGCTTCCTGACGCTAGGCTCTAACCACTGTGCAACCAGATACTTCTTAAAGAAAAAACATCCATAATAATGTCCCTGAGTGGTGACTTTCATTACTCAATTGGTCCTGGGTGGCTGTCATTAAATCTTTTTAGTCATGTCTGACTCTGTGTGACATCACTTGGGGTTTTCTTGACAAAGATACTGGAGTGGTTTGCCATTTCCTTCTCCCGTTCATTTTACAGATAAGGAAATTGAGGCAAATAGGGTTAAGTGACTTGCCCAGGGTCATACAGCTAGTAAGTATCTGAGGCCAGATTTGAGGTTTTCCTGATTTGAAGTCCAGTGCTGTATGCGCTATGTAGCTACCTAGTTGTCCTCCTGGGTAGCTACCAAAAAGGAATAGGAGAATTTGAGAAGCTTGTCAAAGTGAGGTTGAAGGATTTCTCTTGGATTCCATATTTTCATCCTTCAAGAAGAGGTTTATCTACCTCACCGACTTCAGATGTGGCTGTTAAAACTCCTTCACTCAAGAGTAAGAAACATAAAATGTAGAGAAGGTTCCATCTATAGGTTTTGATGAACAAAACAGAAGTTGCAAGTTCTACCAGGAAAAGATCAAAGGAGACTGTATAGGTCTGGTAAAAGGATGCCAGGTCAGTCACACTGTGTTAACAGACTAACACCCGTCATTGTAGTCTTTCCCTCACACTCTCCTAAATGGCCTTTGAATGGAATTAATTTTTCCTAAAGATTTTTTTTTGATGTGCTACAGTAAGCCAACTTGCTCTTGCAGAAAAGGACCATGCTTTCAAGGCCAGCAAAAAGGCAGAATGAGAAATAATACAACAAATATAATTTCTTCCATGTTCTTATTATGGGGAATTAGAGGTGTCGATGTCTATAAATTGTGGAGTTTGGAAGGGAATATAAAAATCAGAAAGCACAGGTGAGGTTGGTTGGTTGAAAGATGATATGTTGTCTTTCTCTTTTTGGCCCGGAGGAGCTTTTATTTTTCAGTATTTGCCTCAGACCTTTTTCTAAAGCCCAGAGGGGACTTTCTTTCTGCCTGAAGCAGAAGAGGTTCATGGAAGAGGTTCATGCTTTCTCTTTCTGGTTTAGAGGTGTGTCGTCCATTATGGTCCACTTAATTTCTGTCCATCCCCCATTGCCTAATCAGGAATTTCAGTTTAACCAAGGTCCAATAGAACCCTGGGAAAAGTACCTTTACTCCGTTCTCCTATCTTTCTAGAAGTATGTTCCCTGCAGTTTCAGTCACTACTTCTGTTGCCAATTTTCTTTATACGTATGTGGCATGCATCTTCTCCCTCTCTGAGTGAACCTATCTATTCATTCTCTGTTTGATTAAACTTGATGAGTTACATGATTTTTTAAAAAAAAAAGAAAGTCCCCCAATGAAAAAGTATTCTCCAGTTGAGCTAATTTTCCATTAATGATTTTTGTCTCTGCACTAAAATTTCTTCAGAAAGTCAGTCTGAGAGCATTTATCTATCTATCTATCTATCTATCTATCTATCTATCTATCTATCTAT